AAAGGGCAAAGGTCAACAGGGCCAAACTGAAGAACACCAGCCCCACGATCACACACACCCAAATCACCAGATTCATCTGTGAGTTGAAAACCTGAGTTCAAAATATGTGCTGTTCTTAGTATTCACTATAAATGCTGATCATCTACACTCTTAAAAATAAAGGTGCTTCACGATGCCATAGAATAACCTTTTTGTCTAAATGGTTCCATAAAGAACCTTTAACATCTGAAGAACCTTTCTGTTTCACAAAAGGTTCTTCGTGGCAAAAGAAGGTTCTTCGGATTATAAAAAGGTAAGAAAGAGATGGTTCTTTAAAGAACCTTTGACTGAATGGTTCTTTGTGGATCCAAAAATGGTTCTTCTATGGCATCGCTTGAAGAACCTTTTGAAGCACCTTTATTTTTAAGAGTGTACTGTAGATTGAATTTGAATTATGCTAGTTCAATGCTTCAGTATTTTGAGGAGGTTTGACGTTCTCTTTCGTACCTCTGGTGGGCGGCTGATTTGCACAAGAGCGAATGTCGACAGATGATCACAGGAACACACAGTGTAGCTGCCGTTGGTCTTTAAAACAGAACAACCATCTTCAATCCACTCACTGATATTCCAGTACACACAGGACAGAGAACCACTGGGATCAAACTCCTGAAAAAGATGAAGAAAATAATAAAACACTGAATATTAGATGTTTTCAGATGTTCTTCAGTTCTCAGGTTTGACAAAAGCACATTTCATTCTCTCACTCTGATGTGTCTGAAGGTGAAGTTGATTGGTTTGGTGAGTTTAGTGTTGGTGGTTTTGGGAAGAGTAGCTGAGATCACAGTGGACATCATGGTTTTAATCGTGTTGTTTGATGTGTTGAAGAAGTCTGGCTTCAGTAGTTTCTCCATCGTGACGTAGCTCATGAAAGCCACAGCAGCTGATCCTGTGTGACAGAAACAGAAACTACAGTACATGCAATACTACATAAAAACAATCAAAAAAGTAAGTAAATGTGGTTTAGTGGTAATGGTATGACGCCTGTATTTATGGCTTTTTTTTTTACACTGAAACATTTCACATACTTCCAATGTTGTTCTTGGCGATCCCAATGAGATCGATGTCCACAGAAGAATTTGTCGTGTCAAGTCGAGGGATTTTATTTAAGGTGACCTGTGGTCCAACCATGAAGACTTGACCCTCTGATTAAACACAAAATCAGAACACTGTAATTGATTACCACCATAAACTGCACTGACTTTCTGTTTTTATCTTTTGAGTGTTCGGTAAATGTCTTTGATTGTTTTTATGCTCAAGGCAGCAAATATTCGCAAACACACTGTTATCTCCACATCATGAACTTCACTGTAAGTGAACCCGTGTTTAATGTTTTCATTGTTCATGGCTTTTCAGGATGAGGGTATTTCAAGACATTTCTACCTATTGGTGGATGATTTTGCACCAAAATACTGACCTTTGACATCAACATAAAAAGATATCAGCAGTGTTTTCTGCTTTCTGTTAAAAAATTTGTAACTCTACACAATTATAGAGTTACTGTATCTGCATTTATCAGTGTTGCTGTCTCACCCACCGCTGCTCTCTAGACTATAAAAAGTCACTGACATCACATATTATCTGAGTTTTATCATCACTAATAATAATTATGTCTTCACTTACCTACAGCAGCAAGAGTAAAACTGACTCTGTCACTTGTGTTTGTTGGCTTCACTAATGCAGAAATGAGTTTCTCACTGGCTTTTAACACACGATTTCCAAAGGAGGCTAGTTCAGCTGGGCTTGCTGATGATGATGACTCTAGAATCTTCTCTGAAGTGTTGAATACCACAGTCAACATGTTCATCACAGTCTAATTTAGTGATCAGATAATTAGTTAATGTACATGTAAATGTCAAGAGAGCCATTAACACTGCACTGCAATGTCAATCATCTATTTCATTGATTTGATTCAATTATTGTATAATTTTTCTCTTGAAGACTTACATACAAAGGGAGCTCTTGAGCTGTAATGTTCTCTATCTGCTCAAGACGATTTTGAAGATATCCTCTGGAGGTCTGACTCTGAAATCACAACATAATTTTATAAATAAAAACTGAAAGACTCTGTGCATTGTGTAAATTTAAATATTCAGCTTACCCTGTATTGATCCGGCAGTGTGATATGCACACCTGAAATAAAGGAATTCCTCAATACAACATAAATATAGGAAAATCAAACACAAAATTCCAGTCTAGAAACATGCGCACCTGCAGTAGTTGGTCTGAGTGCGGTTTGGAAGATGTTAGACTCACAGAAGCAGGAGGATAAAGTGCTGCTGTAGCATGTACAGGTGTCCTTATTACCAATGCAGCCACAGTTATTACCCCAGCATTCATATTCATATTGGTTTCGGTTTCTGTATCTCCAATAGTAGAAATAATGTATTCTTGTGTTGCAGATCATGCGATACTGAGCACCAGTGCAGATGTATGTGTCGTTATAAAGCACACAGTCATAGACCGGACTAACTGCTGCAGGGATAGTGATGCCACTGCTGTGATTTGTGCAGAAGCAGGAGGATGAAGTGCTACTAGAGCATGAACAGGTGTCCTTGTTACCAATGCAGTAACAGTTATTATTTAAACAGTGGTAATGGTATCTACTGTAATGGAAATCATGCATACTTGTGTTGCAATACATGTGGTACTGAGCACCAGTGCAGATGTACGTGTCATTATAAAGCACACAGTCATAGACCGGACTAACTGCTGTAGTGAGTGCAATGCTATTGCCATAAGTCTTACAGAAACAAGAGGACAAGGTGCTACTAGAGCATGAACAGGTGTCCTTATTACCAATGCAGTTACAGTTATTATTTAAACAGTGGTAATGGTATCTATCATAATGGAAATCATGTACATTTGTGTTGCAGTACATTTGGTACTGAGCACCAATGCAGATGTATGCCGTGTCATTATAAAGCACACAGCCATAAGCTGGACTAACTGCTGTAGTGAGAGCAATGCTATTGCCGTAAGTCTCACAGAAGCAGGAGGAAAAAGTGCTACTAGAGCATGTACAAGTGTCCTTATTACCAATGCAGTTACAGTTATTATACACACACTGGTACTGGTCTTGGTTTTGGTATCTCTGATAGTAGAAATCATGCATTCTTGTGTCACAGAACAAGCGATACTGAGCACCAGTGCAGCTGTACGTGTCATTAAAAAGCACACACTGAGAGACTCTCAGTGGACTAACTGCTATAGGGATGGTGATGTTATTGCCGTAAGTCTCACAGAAGCAGGAGGACAAAGTGCTGCTGTAGCATGTGCAGGTGTCCTTATTACCAATGCAGTAACAATTATTATTCACACAATGATACTGGTATTGGTTTTGGTTCTGATATCCCCGATAGTAGAAATCATGCACTGTTGTGTTGCAGTACATGCGGTATTGAACACCAGTGCAGACGTATATGCCATTATATAACTCACAGCCATAAGCTGGACTAACTGTTGAAGTGAGAGCAATGATATTGCCATAAGTCTTGCAGAAGCAGGAGGACAAAGTGCTCCTATAGCATGTACAGGTGTCCTTATTACCAATGCAGTTGCAGTTATTATTCCAACATTGGAACTGATATTGGTTTTGGTTTCTATATCTCTGGTAGTTGAACTCATGCATTCTTTTGTTGCAGAACATTTGGTACTGAGCACCAGTGCAGATGTATGATGTGTCATTATAAAGCACACAGTCATAGACTGGACTAACTGCTGTAGTGAGAGCAATGCTATTGCCGTAAGTCTCACAGAAGCACGAGGACAAAGTGCTCCTATAGCATGTACAGGTGTCCTTATTACCAATGCAGTTACAGTTATTATTCACACACTGGTACTGGTCTTGGTACTGATATCTCTGGAAGGAAAAATCATGCATTCTTGTGTTGCAGTACATGCGATACTGAGCACCAGTGCAGATGTAGGTGTCATTATAAAGCACACAGTCAGGGTCTGTGACTGGACTAACTGCTGCAGGGATGGCGGTAATATTGCCATAATTCTCACAGAAGCAGGAGGACAAAGTGCTACTGTAGCATGTACAGGTGTCCTTATTACCAATGCAGTAACAGTTATTACTACTGCATTGGGACTGGTATTGGTTTTGGTTTCTATATCTCTGGTAGTTGAAATAATGCATTCTCATGTTGCAGTACATGCGATACTGAGCACCAGTGCAGATGTAGGTGCCGTTATAAAGCACACAGTCATAGACTGGACTAACTGCTGCAGGAATAGTTGTACTGCTGTAGTTTGTACAGAAGCAGGAGGACAAAGTGCTACTGTAGCATGTACAGGTGTCCTTATTACCAATGCAGTCACAGTTACCACTCATACAGTGGTAATGGTATCTATTGTAATGGAAATCATGTACACTTGTGTTGCAGTACATGCGATACTGAGCACCAGTGCAGATGTACAGGTCATTATAATGCATACATTCATAGACTGGCCTAACTGCTGTAGGGACAGTGATGTTATTGCTAAAGATATCACAGAAGCAGGATGACGTATTAAAGTAGCATGTACAGGTGTCATTATTGCCAACACAGATACAGTCATTACTTATGCACTGGTATTGGTTTTGGTTTTGGTATCTCTTGTAGTTGAAATGATGCATTCCCGTTTTGCAGTACATGCGATACTGAGCACCAGTGCAGATGTACGTTCCATTATCAAGCTCACAGTTCAAAACTGCACTAACTGCTGCTCTTGGGTCAGCAGCACTGTTGGATATGAAACCTGAGGATGGGAAAGATGTGATCAAAGTCAGAAAAAAACAAATACCAAACCAGGTGAATTTCCAGCATGTTTAGCACATTTAAATTAATGTGAAACACACACGTCTGCACTGTTTTACAATGACATGCATTTCTCAATACTGAGTTTTTGTTTTTTTCTTTCAACAGTTAGCTGCAAAACTGCAGGATCTGTGGACTACACTGTTAATTTATTTTTATATGTTGTATCAATCCTTTAAAATTCATTCAAGGGGTCCTATTATGCTCTTTTACAATGTCTTGAATTTGTTTTGGGGGTGTACTAGAACATGCTCTCATGCTTGGTGGTTCAAAAAACGCATACAATTTACATTATTGCAATACCTTTCTTCCCAGTCTGGCACAAACGGCTCGATTAGTTCCGGGTTTGATGAACGCCCGCCTTCCGAAAAACGAAATGTGATGTGATTGGATAGCTATCCCAGTGCGTTGTGATTGGCGAACAGCTTAGACTGTGTTTCAGTACTGCCCCGCTTGTCTGATGCACTCAACTAAGCGTTCTAACCACGACCTCGTCCCTCCCCACCCCCCAACCATTCGAATTTCCGTAGGCGGGCATTATTTTAATGATATTTTAATGGGCCTCTTTGTGATATCACAAAACTCGGAAAACAAACGCTGTAGTCCAAACGAGCCGTTCGTTGTAGTTCTTGAAAAGGGATTTTTTAAAAACTAAATATCTCCCTTTGGAGTGGACTTTGAGATTTGTAAGTTTGAAGATCTTTTTAATGCCCAAACATACACACTACACACTGACTAAAATTCAAAAAGTGAAAAAGCATAATAGGACCCCTTTAAACATTTTCTGAATATTTCATTTAGACTTGTATGCATTTGGAATGCATTTTGGAATTGAGATTAACTGGTCTGTTAATTTGCATCATTATACTTATGTAAAGAGTTTTACAATGACTAAGTAAGTACTGAGAAATACATTTAACCGATGGCATAAAAAATGTGATAAAGTTCACAGGGTCAACAGACATGTGTTTGAAGAAAACTATCGGCTTACACTCACACAGGATTAAAGAGATGACAGTCAACAGTGACCATAAACCACCTGGCATAAAAAAAGACAGATATTAAAATGTTGTATTTTTCTACTATGAGAATTTGTTTACATTACACACAAATATTAAATGTTTTTCAAAGCAGATCTTTAGGACTGACATGTGCTCCTAAAATTCAATTATTTCCAAAAATCAGAGTAAGGACTTAGTCAAGACACAAGCAAACCTCTTTACTCAACCAAAAAGTTGCTCTACATCAGCCTCTACATCACTGTGAATTGACTGTTTACTATTGTCCTCTTTTTAGAGCTGCTCTACAGCAGAATCAAATTTTGTTTGTATTATTGACACACTATTTTCCTATTTAACACTGTAAAGCTGCTTTGGCACAATTTGTATTGTATAAAGAGCTATATAAATAAAATAGATTCGACTTGACTTGACTCCCATTTGCATGCAATGTTCCTTATTCTGATTATGCGCTGAGAAGTGTGCTCATTTAGTAGGGCTCTTAAATTTAAATTTTAAATTTACTGCCATTTTAGTTTTTGTTTTTGAGTTTTTGAGTTTTTGTTGACAGAGTTTAATAATTCAGATCGGAAGAAAAAATTCTGAATGATATCACGGAGTTCATTCATGAAGTTGTGGGAACAACACACGGCATCCGTGTATGTCTGAGCACAATTTTGTAAATGATCTGGTGCCATACTAATTAGTTTAGGCAAATGAGGCAAAACAACAATTTATCCACAACATTACACTGCAGCAACAAATCCAGGAATTTTACTTTTCAGGTAACTAGTTCCCTTTCAGTCGGTCACTCCGAGTCACGTCGGTGACCGACGAATTGGGATCTCGCTTAGAGAGACCAATCCACTTTGAGTGTAAACTAAACGAGCCAATGCACATTGGCATGCGATGATTGCATCCAGCTACCGCTGATCACAGAGTGAGCATAAAAAGGCAGCCGGTGCAACGCATACCAGCTTTTCGCTTCGGAGCCGAGCGACAGCATCGTTCTGCTCCTACCAAACTGCTTCATGTGTGACGAGTCTAGCGCGCTCTCGGGAGCTTTTGTGTTGGCTAACGGCACTTCAGCGGTGGTCGTTCCTGTGTCGAGGGGGTTGCGCACTTCAGGCTGCACTACCCCGTCATGCTGCAAACGGCCGTTTCCCCTGTGCGTCTCAGCACGTAAAATAGCATTTCCCTAAAAGAGCCAATTTCTCTAAAAGAGTACAATAAGAGTGTGTCTTTGTAAAGTCGACGTTTCATTTCTGGATGCGGTCGTTACCTGGCGCCGGGTGATGGTTACGATCGCTGCCTCACAAGTCTGGGCATTAAACACTGAGGTGGCGTTCGCGGATGAGTCATGTTCCCATTGCGGGAAGATGACCATCTCAGAGCTGCGGGTCAGGCTCCGTTTCCTCCAGGGGGGGCGGTTGCTCCGTTGCCTCTGCTGCGATCTAGTGTTCGTCCTGGCGGCAGCCAGGCGTGGACTACTTCGGGCAGTAGCACGGGCGGTCTGCACGGGTGGCAAACCCCTCGGGGGACCATAGCTCCTCTAGCGCTTCGCAACCAGTTGAGCCACCAAAGGAATGTGCTGGGCCCTCTTCAAAGAGCGTACCAGCGGTATCCTTCGGCGCTCCTCCTGACGACCGGATGTTGATCACTGCATCGGAGGGAGAGCTCTCTGGAGAGGAAGATTCGGCTGCGCTGCTGCCCTCCGGGATGGTGGCAAGGCCTGAATCGGATCTAGAGATGTCGGCTATGCTTTCCCGGGCCGCCGAGAAAGTAGGGCTCGGGTCGAAACCTCCACCGCGTCCCGGGCCCTTGAGGTTGGATGATTGGTTTCTCGGGGTGGCTTGCGCTGTTTCTCAGTGCACCGCCTCAGTGCCTTTCTTCCCAGAGGTGCATGAGGAGCTCACCGGGTCATGGATGGCACCTTTTACTGCCGGAAACCGACCTGCTGGTTCCTCCTCCCTCACCACCCTCGACGGTGGTGCAGTTAGGGGGTATACGGGGGTCCTCTCCGGTGGAGCGGTCGGTTGCGATGCAGTTGTGTCCTAATACCGCCTCCACCCGGCAGGGCGAACCGCGCCTCCCCTCCTGGGTCTGTAGGTACTCGTCTGGCCTGTCTGGCGATGCTTATACAGCCTGTGGAGAAACTGCCTCCATCTTACACGCTATGGCGTTACTGCAGGTTCATCAGGCCGAGGCACTGAGGGACCTGCACGAGGGTGGTCAGGATCTGGAAGTTCTAAAAGTTTGCGCTCCGAGCGACGAAGGTCACCGCGAGTTCTCTGGGTCGTGCGATGTTCACACTTGTGGTCCAGGAGCACCATATATGGCTGAGTTAGTGTTTGTCACACCCTGCCCCTGCGTCCGCCCCTGCTCCCACGCCGCATCTGCAGCAGCCTTCAGCAAGCGGTGCTGTGGAGCTGGGCGTAGGCAGGCCACCCCACCCATTCAGGCCCCCGTCAAATCTGGCGGTGAGCGAAAGCGCAAGAGGCCCCAGGACGGGCAACCCAGAGAGGGAGGAAGCTGCTCTTTGGGGGATGAAAAAAAGACCTCTCCCTCCCCAGGAAAATATGAGTTGTAGTCCAAACGAGTCGTTCGTTGTAGCTTTTGAAAAGTGTTTTTTGTTAAATAAAATATCTCCTTTTGAAGTGGACTTTGAGCTTTGTAACTTTGCAGATCGTTTTTATCCTCAAACAGCAACATTACAGACTAACTAAAGTTGAAAAAGTGAAAAAGCATAATAGGACCCCTTTAACAGTATGTTTATGAAGCGCTTCAAATGTTAAAAGGAAAAAGTGATATAAAATCATGGGATAGCAGTAATGTTTTTGTGACTGGGTATGGTTATGCATAAACCCAAGTAATAATTTTAAAAAAAATCTAACAATATGGATCATAAATTCAATATTTATGTTATTTAGTGAAGAAGAGAAGTATGTTTACACTATAAAAATTTTTTCCATAATTTTAACTGTAAAACTCGAGAAAATTGTAGCGCTCCAAAACAAAAAAAAGTTCCTTGTACTGCAGGTGCGTAGAGCCAGTACAATATTTGAAAATGAGCAAGAGGGTGGTTAACCGCACACTGATCCACTCGAGACTAAAAAGTGTACAAATAGTCTCCTCTCTTTATAGAAAAGACACAGCTAAGAACAGTCTTCTTCATGCTAAGAGTGCTCACCCAATGCCCTTACAACGTGGTTTACCCTATAGCCAGTTTTTGAGACTCCATCGTATTTGTTCTAAGAAAGAGAATTTAGAGGCTAAAGCCCAGAGCTTGTATATGGACTTTAAATCATATATGGACGGGGCTATCCTAATAAGTGGCTTGACACTGCACTTGAGAAGGT